AAATAAATAAATAAATAAATAAATAAAATTAAAACAAAAATTTTGGCATGCAAAGGAAGAAAAAGTAGGAAAAGAGTGAATATAAAGATAGGAGACGGAAAATTAGAAGAAGTGGCTGATTTTAGGTATCTAGGAAGTCAAATATGTCAGGAAGGAAGGAGTAGTAGGGATATAAAATAGAGGATAGTACAGGGTCGAGTCGTCTTTAATAAAAAGAAGTCACTTCTATGCTTGCGAATGGTTAATTTAGAAATTCTAGAAAGACTGCTAAAGATGTATGTTTGGAGCGCGGCGGTGTACGGGTGCGAAACATGGATGGTGGGCGCTGCGAAAAAGAAAATTTTGGAAGCGTTCGAAATGTGGTGTTACAGGCAAATGATGAGGATGCCGTGGATATAGAAAGTTAGAAATGAAGAGGTATTAGAAAGAATAGAACAGGAAACTCAGTGGAAGTCAATAAAAAATAGGCGAGATAGGTTGGTAGGACACCTTCTCAGGCATGAAGGTCTAGTCAGAGACATATTAGAGGCAGAAACGGTAGTTAGGAGGGGTAGAGGTAGACCTAGATTAAATTAGGTACTGTTCACAAATAGTTGAGAATGGGGGTGTTCTAGTTTTAAGAGCCTGACTGCCTGACTGACTGACAACCTCACGATGATGATGATGATGATGATAATGTCTCCTAGTTTTTTCCGCAACACGAATTCCTTTAACAAGACCTCCTTGAACTTGAACAGTATTCTTACTACTACACTAACGTTTCTTCAAACTCTCATCAGCAATGGTATCGATTACTGCCTCCGTAATTCATGGATCATGGACTTCTCCATTTATCCCCCAACTAAAATCTGAAAATTCCCCCATAGGCGTCCAATTAACCACCGTAAGTGAAAAATACAATAAATAACAGCAGAAAACCTATTCACGCCAAAAACAAAGACTATCTTCTAATATTCTAGATTCAAGCTGCTCTAGTTGTAAGCCTTTATACCTTGGGCTTCTTCTTGGGAAGCGCTCTTACACTACGTGCATATGACACTTTTGGTAGGAAAATAATGTTTTTGGTTGGAGACGTATTAAATTTAATCTCTTGGATTTTTATATTCTTTGCTCGTGGTCCAGTTGCCTTGTATATTGGAAGGATTATTGCCGGAATGGGAGCAATCATTTGTTCACACGTAAGTTACTACATCCTTTGCAAATTAATTTGCAGTTCAAATTAATTTTCATGTTTCTTTTTGCCATACTATGTAGTGTACTTATGTATGTACCTGAATTTCGTAAAAGAGTTGTTGATAAGCATCGTTCTTTGCTCATGCTCGACTCAACAAAAATACTTCAGCATTTAACACTCATAATATCAGACAATTTTGGAATTCCTTAAAACTCGAGCAAACTACATCTATAACTATTTGTCTAGGTCAAAGGTTCCCAATTTGTTTTTTATACGGAACCCTTTTTGACCCATCCTTTTTGGACGGAACCCAATGTTGATAAAGAAGTAAATTGATGACTATTTGTATGTCTGACTCCTGGAACCTTATTGTGTACATGTTGTTCGAATAGAATTTGCACATTTTTGCTTGTAATAGCATTAAAATTTGATTTAATATCCGACAATTCATTTCGAATCTCCGAAGTAGCATTCAGTCTAGTTTTGAATTTGTTTTTAGCGTAAGCATAAACCGCAAAGCTCGTCTGCAATCTGAAGTCGAAATAAATAGAAATATGAACTGTGATAACCCTCTCAAAGACTACAGCGTATTCACCATTAAGTTTGGTTCAAAGATCCTTCAAATTTGAATCAGCTTATTCGAAGTTTTGTTTTAAGAAGGATGAATTCTTAATATCGATCAACTTCTCATACTCCGACATAGTTAACATTGATGATTTAATTTGATTTGGAAATGGATTCTGTATTCACAATCACTAGCTATCCTGTGATATTCTTTCAAGGACTTTTTAAGTTTCAATAGATATTCGTTTAGGATCAGATACAGAATGATTGCTTTTTGAAGAATTTTGTATATTTTTACTAAGACAAGAAACAATAAGTATCTCGCGGATCCTCTGTTTTAGGGTTCCGCGGAACACCATTCGGGAACCGCTGGTCTTGGTCTACATTTACCCCTCTTAAATCCTGTTTCTGCTTATATCTCTAACCAGTCCTGCATGTCAAGGTGTTCTACCAACCTCATAGCACGTATATTTTTCATTGATATCCACAAAGCCCTTTGTTCTCCTACCGTTTCTAATACCTCTTCATTTCTAACCTTTTCATTTCCACAGCGCCCATCTTCGTCGAAGCTTCTTAGTCATACAGAGCCATACTACAAGATTACACCTTCAGTAATCGTTTTAGAATTTTCATGTTAATCAATCTAGACCACAAAAGTGATTTCTTTTTGTTAAAAGCGAGCTGACTCTGGTCTATTCCGTGTTCTATATCTCATGGCGCTTTTTACATCCTGAGTTAGTTGACTCGAAAAGCATATCGAAATTCAACAGCTTCTTCTAGTTGATCCTCTTTATATACATTTACTTGTGTCCTAGAACAAGAGGTCTAGCAACCTCTTCAACCATCAACCCCGATCAACCGTCAGATCTGTCGCTGAACGATTTTATTTTGCATTAGATAGATCCCATATACACGACTCCAGTAGTACGATATTTTGAATGATATCTTAGAAACATTGAAATATAGTAGTAGTTGAAATTGCAAGTCCTTTCCCTTAAATGAATATATTTGTCATCATTTTATCTGTCTTGAGCCTGTCAATTGAAAGGGGATACATAAAGTCGTAGAATCAGTGAAAAAATATCCATTTAAGGACTTTGTCTAAATATATATCACCTTTCAGTTAGCAGGTCCAAGACGTATAATAACCACTCCTACTAATTTAAGAGAAAAGAATTTACATTCGGTATATGTCCTACTATGTTTCTCATACTTTCCTTCCATCATTTCAATTCGCTTTTTAAGCAGTCGGTTTTTCTGAATTTTTGATTCATTTTAATTGCTTAGTCGTCACAATAACTCTACTTATTATTAATAATTAGAAAATCAATCAACTCGAATTTTTTGGCATCTCCCTTGATGTTAGAGTTGCAGACGTTCTACTGTAATTGCTTTACCTATGTATTTAATAATAGTAGAATGTCCTTATTTCGTGTTGAATAAAATTGTTTTTAAGGTTTCGTCAATGTACACTGGAGAAATTTCAGACAATGATAATAGAGGGGTAATGGGTTATTTAAATGTTCTATTAAGTGCTTGTGGGAGTGTTATCGGACTGGTAATAGGTCCATACGTATCCTACAAGAGTTTTGCAATTATGGCATTTTGTATGGCAATACTTGCAATTGTATGCCTTCTATTAATGCCGGAATCGCCTTATTTTCTTATTCAAAAACACAAGCATGAACAGGCGGAAAAAGTAATATGGAAACTGGCAAGCGATGCCTCTGATAAAGAATTTGTTAGTAAGAGACTGCAGGAAATCACTGAATCTGTACAGAAGGATATGCTAAATAAATCATCAATTAATGAACTACTTTGCAGTGGGAAATATACAAAACCGTTACTGCTCAATGTTGGTAAGTAACGATAATGTTAAAATAATATTTATGTTAACGCAAGGTGTAAAGAAATAAATGAAACAAAAGGGTAATTAATTAAGTATTTTTCTAACAAATCAATTTTTGGAAGGAAAACTACCTGGTCGATTTGAGAAGTCAGAAGTCAATATCTTTAATAAAATAATTCCAAGTGGTCTGTATTCTGGCGAAACTTTTTGGAACTCATCAGCGCGTCGCAGGCAGCTCCGACAGAACACAGACCAACTTTTACCTGCTGTCTTAACAGCGCGTTTTAGAAAATACGACAAATGGCGCGGTAAACGCCATCTGTAGTACGATGCTACATTTTAGGATTACGTATGCTCCACCGTTACCATAATCGAATAAAATAATTCGAAGTGGTCTGTATACAGAGTGTAATATTGTATAGAAAACAATGTCAACCAACCAAAGTCAAGCAATTTCGACGTTTTAAGGAGTTTGTCGTTAAATCGAGTGACGTTATAAAGAGTTTACACTGTATTTAAAATGGATCTTGTTGGAGCATACGTAATCCTAAAATGCAGCATCGTACTACAGATGGCGTTTACCGCGCCATTTGTGGTATTTTCTCAATATCTTTAATTTAAAAGGACCTTGTCAAGCATTGTTGAGAAGCACAATAAGTATGGTAATTTGCCACAGATGACGTTCAAATAAATTTTGTTATATTTTCTCATCAAAACTTAAACCATCCCCTTAAAGTGCTTGAATATTCTCCTTTGTTTTTCGTTATGTTCTAGTTCTAAATATGTTTACATTCTATTTATTTTATTTGGGTCTAAAGAGGGCATGATAACTTAACTAAAACGTTTACGAAATCAACACCTACAGTCAAACATAATTATGATTATGCAAATTTGTAAAGACTTTTGCGTTCGCAGTTTCGCTACCACCAGTAGCAACCTTCTTTGGATGTTCTTCCATCTTCAAGGCGGGATGAGAACTGATTATGACTAATTATGATTATAATTTCGAACACTTATTGCTGTTTAGTTTGATATATTTCACGTTTAATTTGTTGCTGATAACATTAATTTTTCCATTTTAGGTTTATACTTTATTTTATACATGTCTGGCAGCTCGATCATAAGATCGTATTTGCAAACAATACTTAACGCTAGTGAAAGCACAATTTCATCAGATCTTTCAAGTTTGATTTTTGGAGTAGTTTACATTGTTGCTGGCAAGTGATTATAGTTTGCTAGTTTATTGAATAAAACAGAAACATAAAGTATACTTAAATTTTAGTATTTATTTCCGGCCAAGCGGTGGATCGATTGGGAAGGAAACCCCTTTTACTTATTTCCTGTATCGTCAGTGCGATTTCTATGTTTGTTCTCGGAGCTTATTTTTACATTAACGAAACAAAATCTTTTGATATGGCGGTCGTGACATGGTTACCATTGACTAGTCTGGTCGTCTATGAAATATTCATTGCCGTTGGTATTAGTCCCATACCACACGTCCTTTTTTCCGAACTGTACCCAATGAATATCAAAGGTATTGCGATTGGGACGGTCGGAACAGTGCTGACTCCGATCGCTGTGCTCATTCAATTGACTTACGAACCACTGAACGAATTTTGGGGATTGTATGGTACCTTTTGGATGTACTGCGCATGCTGCATTTTTGGTGTTTTCTTTACCATATTCTTTTTACCAGAAACAAAAGGAAAATCTTTCCAACAAATACAAAGGGAGATCAATAAGAAATGGGTGGTGACTTCTGAATGCATAGAAGATAACGATAAATTATAACAAATTTGTTTTAGAGTTTAACAAAAGTAGGAACTGTGATATTTATAATTAATAATAATTTAGAAGGCTTTGAACTACTGTAGCTTAAATGAATTACGTAGATAGTGATAGATAATCTAATATGACGAAATGGGNTTACTTGTTTTTTACTATTTCTTTTACAGGCTTTCTTTCTTTCTGTAACGTTTACTTTTTCTATCTTTCTTAATTTTTATCTCACAACAGCGTTCTTTTTTTTCAACCCTATGTTTTCCCCTCTGCTCAATCACTTCTCGCTATCCATTTTTTATTTTTCCGCCGCGAAAGTAATGTTAAAAACGAATTCGTTTTTTTCATTTCTTTTCGCCCTACTCTTCACACCCCACTATCAACCCCTCTTTTTCCTAACCCTTGCTCGGAGCTGAGGTTTGTATAAATAATCGTGCTCACCTCAGTACCGACAGTCCCAATATCCCACCGACCCACGGCAAGGGGAAGGGCCCCGAACCACAAGTTTTCTTCGTGTTCCCCGTGCCGCGACTTAGTGCCGGTCACCAGTAACTAGTAAGTGCGTTCTCTCCATTAACTCTGTCTGTCGTTTTTTTGTTTTTTTTATGTATTTTATCTTCGTGTACATGTATATAGTTTTGGTTTTGTATATATTTTTTGTCTAGTTATATTTCTTTTTGTCTTGTGTAAATATTAACCTGTGCCCGCGTATAAATAAAACTCTATTCAATAACCGAGTGTGTAAAGTTGTATCAAACTAATTTGTTACATTGACGCTCTGTTTACGTTTGCACGAAAATAACCAGGGATCATCCCTAATTTTTCACCCTTCCAATTTAAATGACACTACCTTTAAGATATGACCTATCCATCAATAAAAAAAGCAACATTAAATTCGACTCACAATCGGCAAAGATATCGTCTAGCATACACAAAAAGATTAAGAGCCTCCTTTCTTTTGAAATCGATTGATACTGCAACACACATTTGTAGTTATATGTAGATATAAAATATCAAAACATCTTTCAGATTAGAATTTTTATTTAGATAAACTAGTCGTTCCTCCCTATGTGTGTTCGAAACTGTTAGCACCATTGCTTGTGGTCAAAATTCACTTTTGTGACCAATTTGTTTAATGACTTTCTTTGTGTTAAAAATTGTTTGAAAAATTAAATTTAAATTAACTGTTTGTAAAAAGGTATGCAACACATTGTACACTTCAGCATAAGAAATTGCTGATAC